TAACCATCCCCACCCCCACCCCCACCACTCAGGAGCCAGGCTATCAAATTTGAGACCAACTGGAGATCCAGTCTTAAAAAAAAATAAAATAAATTGCCAGGAAGTCTGGGGAGATGGCTCAGTCAGTAAAGTGCTTGCCATGCAAGCCTGAAGCCTGAGGACACCAGTGTGGTTTCCATCCCTTGCAATCACAGGGCTGGGGATATGCGCACAAGCGGATGCTGAGGTCCATGTCCAGCCATCCTACACTACTTCAAAAGCTCAAAGCCAGTGACAGGCCCTGTCCCAAAATACTAGGTAGATCATACTCGAGGAACAACACTTTAGGGTAACTTCTACCCTTCATATATAGACACAGATGAGCTCATACATCTGCACACATATATGAATATGCACACACACAAAACCTCAGCACATCAGGATAGAAATAAACCAAGTGGTACAAGCCTATAATCCCAGAACTTTCCATTGTCTCTCTCTCTCTCTCTTTTTTTTTTTTTTTCCATTGTTTGCTTTTTCTTTTCAGATGGATTTCTCTGTGTAACAGTCCTGGCTGTCCTGGAACTCACTCTGTAGACCAGATTGGCCTCAAACTCACAGAGATCTACCAGCCTCTGCCTCCCAAATGCTGGGATTAAAGACGTTGAACCACTACACCTGGCAATCCCAGCATTTAGGACTCTGGGTCAGAAGAACTATTACATGTGTGAGATTAGCCTACACCACACAATGAGCCCCAGGTCTCTCCATCTTAAATAAAATAAAATAAAAACAATCCAGAAGTAGTGGTGTGCCTGTACTCTCAGCATTTGGGAGGTAGCGGCCCAAGGACTAGAAGTTCAAACCCTATGAAGAAACAGGTTACTGGAGACAGACATTTGGTTTTTTTTTTTTTTATTCTCACTTCTTTACTATAAACTCAAAGGGGTAGAATCATAGGAATGTTGCCACTCGGGGAGGAGGAGTCTAAGCTGTAGGGAGCTGATGATCCTGGGGGTAAGAGGATGTTTGAGAACGTAGTCACAGACCCTCTGATTCTGCATGTAGGGTTAGATCAGCGCATGTCTACTAACTCCCTCTGGGTGAGCCAGTTGACAAAAGAGACACCTTAATTCCCACTGGATTAGGTAAAGTATTCTCCATGGTAATACTAGAAACTAGAATTCCGCAGTGGGATTGCAAATTTCTATATTTGTGATTTCCTTGGGGGAAATATGGGTCTCAGTAGGGGAAAAGTCAGTGGAGAAAAGGTCATTGCTAGTCTGGCCAGATTACCTAACTGAGCTATTCCTGTCTAGCCCATTTATCGCCTTGGCCTTCAGGCCAGGCGTATTTGAGGACAGATAGGGAGGACTGATATCAGCAGTCCCTTCTTTGGTCTGAAGTCTGTGTTGTCCTTGCTGTATGTCCTGACATGCAGGTTATGACTTGACCTCTCTGCTGCAGGGGTCTTCTGCGCTCTTACTAGCTGCAGGAATTGCTGATCCCCAGCTACTCTGGCTGAAGAGGTTCTTGGAAGCAACTGGTGATGTACCTGATATATCTTTAGCCTGCCTGGCTGAAAATAAGGCAGGGAGATCAAGGGGATCAAATGAGCTTGGTGAAGTAGGGACATGCCCAGACATTTGGAGGACCAAGGTTGGAGTGACCGATGGCAATCGGTTGTACTGCCTCAAAGACAAAATGTCATAAAAATCAGGCCATGTTTGAACTCTGCCCTGCCTGGAGTCTTGCTTTTCTTAGCAGGTGACCTTGCTGGATGAAACTGATGACATGAGACCCAACACCATTTTTACCTTTGCAAGTGGACCTACACCAACTCTGTTGGGTTGTAGGGTTCTCTGGAGACATCTAGTGCAAATTCATGTATCAGACAAGAAGAAACCGAGGCATGGAGTCTTGATATGACTTTCTGAAGGGTACAAGACTATGGAGTAGGGAAACTAAAGCAATGAGATGTTTGGCCTGAGATGACAATCATTCCCCTTGACTTAGCTTTCCTTCTTTCTTGTCTTTTGAAACAGCGTCTCCTATACTCCAGCTTGGCTTCAGTTTTTCCATGTAGTCAACCACGGGTTGTAGGCATGTGTCACTATGCTTGACATTTATGTCTTGTTGGGGATAGAACCAAGGCCCCTGTGCATGCTAGGAAAGTGCTCTACCTACAAAGCTGCACCACCCCAGTTCCCCACCCCTTGCTTCACTCTTGAACAGCCTACACCCTTTTTTACTTTCAAAGGTCAAACAACCATAAAAATAAATTTCAGGAACCAGCTATTTTCTCCTTCCCAACCATAGGTGCCTCATCACTCCACCGAACTTCTGCTTTGCCGTTTTCTTGGTTCTCCATGCTCAACCTAAACCACATATTGCATCCAGATCTCTGTTTGGGCTTCCCTCAAACCACTGGAGTCCCTGCACCCATTTGCAGACTCATGATGTCACATGTCCTGTCCAAGTAGGAGAGGCCTGGCAGGGTAGGGGTGGAACATGGGTCAGGCAGAGTAGGTTTCTTGCCAGAGAACCTACTGTGTAGTCTGGTAGTGGGCACCGGAGCAGTTTAGACAATAAACACTGTCGCTAATGGGTATTATGTACACACGTGGCAAGTGCTGCCTGGGTCTGATGTAAACGTTTGTGAGCGGGACCTCAACTGTTAGGGTGCCTCTCCAAGAAGAACAGCTTCACCCTGGCTCCTGGACCTAGCCTCCAGCCTCTGCCTGTCTGCTAGTGCTTATAGGAAGTTGGGGAAAGGTCAGTGGAAATAGTTTAACTCGTGCTTGGAACAGCTAAGGAATCTGGAGAAGGTGCTGGGTCTCGTGTTATAGGCTTTGTCCAACAAGGTCATCTGCCAGGAAAGGCAGCAGTCCAGGCAGCAGAGTCCAAGAATGGCCTGATCTTTATGACACTTTGTCTTTGAGGCAGTACAACTGATCCCAAGTGGTCATTCCAACCTTTGTCCTCCTTTCTCCTGTATCATGGGAAAAGGGACGTGAAGGAATGTGAGTGTGGAGAGCTGGGTGGAGATTCATTTCCTGCCCTTCTCGTCCACCTCTTGTTTGTCCCCATTGCTTTAAGAAGTAAAAGGGGACAGTGAGATGGCTCTAGGGTGCCTGCCTCCAAGCCTAACGCCTTGAATTTGAGCCCCACATTCATATAAGCGAAGTGTGGTAAAAAGGGAGTTTCCAGGGGGAAGGCGGCAGCGCTTCCCAACATAGCTATGAATTTAAGTGACAGGTTAACATAGAGAGGGCGCACTGGGGGGGGGGGGGGGCAGAAGGGGAAAGACAAAAGAAAACCGGTCAGGATCTTTCTCTTGTTTTCTACTGTTCCCTCCCTAGCTACAGTCACCAGCTGTATAACTGTGGGAAACCCCGGCGACAAGTGCCCTGGCTCCACCCTTCACTCGGCGAGCTAGAAAAGGAAACACATCAATCATCACAAATTGCTCAAGAACTCTGGAATGTTCGTTTCTATTACCTTCTCCGTTTTCTTGGCCGGGCTTCTATCTTAACACTTGCTACCACATTTAAACGAGGCTTTTAAACGTGCTTTCCCTCCATGGAGTCTAAGCCCCGCTTCTCCATGTACAATGCGGTCAGAAATACCTGACTTTGGGTCTGTAGCTCACGGTGCTGTAGGAAATTCAGTCAGCCTGCCTAAATGCAATTGAGACATTTGTTGACACTTCTCCCACATTGCATCTTACGACTTTTAAATACTCAATGGGGTCTCCGGTGCTAGCACCCCAGATAGCTAAGCAGGTCCTACTCAGGTTCTATACTGGACACGCAACTTACTCGTGGCTGTGGCATGTCAAGTGCATGCAACCAATCAGCTCGAGGAAGGCTTCCTCAGAAACCAATCAGAGCGTAGGGAAGTGACCTCAGCCAAGGGAGCGCTGTGTGGGCGAGGAAGCCTCTCTTAGAGTTCTGTCCCTAAATCACTCCCTTCCTCCCCACCCTCCTTACTTCCTGAAGGATAACACCACCCACCCCTCCCCAAAGTAAAGTGAGAAAGGCTAACCAAAATCCACAAAGGGAAGGACCAAAAGAGAAACTGCAAGCCACATGACTCTGGGTGTGGAGAATAGGATATTTAGGGTTCCCTAAATATGCCTTTCAAAGGGGGCTCTCCAGGCCCTGGAACACAACAGTGTAGCTGGAAACTGTGCGTCACTCCTCTCTGGCCCCTGGCTTTCTCGACTCTGCATAAAAATAGCTGCAATCATTAGTAAATAAGGCCACAACCAAGGTCAAGTGTGAGAAAGAGAGGGCTTGTGTCCTTGTGAACACGCCTGAATATACAGGATCACGCCCTGGTGCCGGAAGTCAAAGGCCGGGGCAGGCAGCTGGGAGACCCTGTGCTTTCCCCCAATGCTTTCAGGTAGCACTGCGGATGAATTCCCGAATGTGCCCCACTGCAGGGGGGAGAGGTAAAGGACAAGCAGAGGGTTGACGCTGGTGGCATATGCCTGGGATCCCAGCCTCTCGGGAGGCTGAGAGTGTAAGGCCTGTTTGGGCTACGGAGTTAGTTCAAGGCTAACTTAGGCAACTTATCAAAATATTGTCTCAAAATAATATTACACACACACATAAAGAGCTGGGGATATGGCTTAGTGATGGAACACTGGCTTAGCACTGTGAAGCTGTAATTTCAATCCTCAGTACTTGGGGCAGGGTGCAGGGTGGGTTGTGAGAAAGGCTTGAGTGGACATCCCCTTCAGCTTTCCTCAGGCCTCTCCTGGTAGACATCACTCTGAGACAGATGAAAACATTTTATTTAAAAATACAAAATAGGCCTTACTCCTCTTAAATGTTTCCACCCCAAGTATGTCCTTAAGGGCTTATAAAAATCAAGTAGAGGTGTGTACACAGCTGTCTCCATGCCAACAACCAAGTTACATTTCAACCCTTCTTTCACACTAAGATATCAGTCTTTCCCCCCAAATGTGAGAGGTGACACAGAGATTTGTCATTCCGTTCCTCACAACCCCCCCCCCCCCCCAGGGAACAGTCAGGTCACCTGGATTCTGACTATGATTTTCCCCCACAAGGGTAAATCATAGGAAGTCTGGTGTGATGGTGCAGTAATCTCAAGACTTGGAAGGTGGAGGTAGTAGGATCAAGAGTTCAGGATCAACGTCAGCTACATACTGAGTTCCAGGCTAGCTTGAACTATGTGAGATCCTATCTCAAAACCAGTAAGAACAAAAAGAGGGGAAACCCTAAACAGTTTTAGACCCTATATGGAAAATCAGGAAGGGTATAGGCGCCCAGATTTTCAGTATATAGCCTCATCCATATTGTCATCACTGTCACCTCCAAAGTCCTCTCCATTGTCAAAATATGACATGATATAATCAGTTTCCTGCAATGTAAAAACAAGCAAAGATCAGCAATGACTTCAGAGTTTTTCTTCCCTTCTTTTTCCAGGCTCTTCCCTCCCAGACACCCCTTCCTGGTCTGGGATACCCCACCAGCTGTGAAAAGTTTACTTTATGCTTTATGTGTATAGGTGTTTTGTTGGCACCTACGTCTGTGTACTGCTTGCATGCCTGGAGCCCTCAGATGCCAGAAAATGACATCAGATGCTCTGGAACTGGAGTTACAGGCTGTGAGCCGCGATGTGGGCACTGGGAATGGAGCTTGAGTCTTCTGGAAAAGTAGCAAGTGCCCTCAACCACTGAGCCATCACCCCAACCCCCTCTATTTACTTGTTTTTGTGATTATGTGTGTATGGGTGCGTGTGTACGTGTGTGTGCCCTAGTGCATGTGTGGAGGTCAGAGGACACTTGCAGAAATGAGTTCTGTCCATCACATAGTGGGTTCCAGGGTCTGAACTCAGCAGGCACCTTCACCCTCTGAGCCCTCTTACCCACCATGTTACAGAAGCAGAGGGAATGGAGCCATTGGTGGCACTGTCACTTTAGGCCTCACTCTCTGAGGACATCTCCTGTGTAAGAGTTGAGAGCTCAGCACAAAATGAACTTTCTGCCAAGCTGAAGGTCTAGAACCCACACAGTAGGAGAGAACCAACTCCCCAAATTGTCTTCTGACCTACACACACACACACACACACACACACACACACACACACACACACACCTCTTTTCTATGATAAGCCTGGTGGTGTAGTCCTTCCAACACTAGGAAGTAGTGGGGAGTTCCAGGCCAACCTAGTTTATATAGTGAGACCCTGTCTCAAAAACAAAACAAATGTGCTCACTTGGGCAGCACATACACTAAAATTGGAATAATACAGCAAAGACTAGCATGGCCCCTGTTCAAGGATGACACTCAAATTGGTGCAGCGTCCCATATTTTTCCCACCTGAGCATTAAAAACAAACAAATCAACAAATCTTTGAGAGAGAGAGAGTTGAGAGCCCAGGGCTTGGGAGGGAAGGGGTGTGTGAGGAGAGCTTGGGAGGGAAGGGGTGTGTGAGGACAGGGAGGAACAGAATCCCCTTCACCTCTTCATGCTCTTCTTCATCGTACTCCTCTTCCTCCCCCTCTTCCTTTTCTTCTTCTTCTTCTTTCTCTTCGTCCTCCTCTGAAGTCACGTCCTCCTCCTTCTTCTCTAGAGTCTCATGTGAGGGTGAATAGGAAGAGAAGCTCACACTCAGCTAACACCCGGAGAACTGAGGCTCTAAGGGACCTGGAGCCCAGCTGTCTATCATACGTCCTCCTCACCTCCAGCTTCTGTATTGTTTCCTCCTTCTCTTCTGTGGTCTTAGGGGGCCTCTTGGGGAGTATAATGGTGGCCCCTGTTTGGAGGATCAAACAGTGAACCCTTAGGGAGCACATCTCCTGGCTAGCTTTCTTATCAGTTTTTAAATTAGGTGTGTGTGCATATATGTGTGTGTATGTGTATGTGTGTGTGTATATGTATGTTTGTGTATATATGTATTGTGTATGTGTGTATATGTATATGTGTGTATGTGTGTGTATATGTATGTATGTGTATGTATGGGTGTGTATGTGTGTATATGTGTGTATATGTGTATCCATGTATATGTATGTATGTGTGTATATGTATATGTGTGTATATGTATATGTGTATGTGTATATGTGTATATATGTGTGTATGTATGTATGTGTATATATGTGTGTGTGTGTGTGTGCCCATGGAGACCTGGAGAGGGCACTTGATCCCCTGCAGCTGGAGTTAGAGGCAGTTGTGAACCTGCTGTAAGTGAAAGCAGTACATGTGCTTAAGGACTGGACCATTTCTCTGGTTCTTTTTCTTCCTTTTTTATTTTTCACAAAATGCTTTTTATATGTTATTTTAGTGTGTGCACACACATGCAATCTACGTGTGGAAGTTAGAGTAGGTTCTCTCTACCGTGAGCTGATCCACTTCTCCCACCAGCCTAGCTTTCTAGGCACCCTCCCGCAGCAAACATGCCACTCTGCTGCCCTCATGTGGTTATTATAGGATCAGCAGATGAACCCCCATCCTTTTCTAGGCTCACTTACGTTCCTTCTGTAGTTTCCGAACTCGAATCTTGAGCTCTCTGGGTAGACGCCGCCAATCTGGGAACAGTGAGAGTGTGAAGGTCAGCAGGACCCTGTCTGGGGGCTTCTGTGAGTGATGACTGGTACTAAAGGGATGGTGAGGGTTTTAAAGGACAGGAAGGAGGGGGCTTGAAGTGTTTTAGAAAGAACAGGACTGTTGGCTGGACGCCTCTGGGGAGGTGCCACTGTTAGTCGGTTTCTCAAGTAGAACCTGAGAGGGTTGAGAGCACATCTAAGACTCTCCTTTCTAGATGCTGTACAGGAAAGGGAAGGTGGTGGTTCATGGCACCCAAGTACCTCAAGGCACCTCTAAGGAAGGGCATTCAGTGAGGGCCAGTCACCTACCAGGGTTCCAGTCAATGGCACTGTCCATCGGCCCAGACATCTGGTACTTGTCTGAGTACCGTTCCACATCTGAGAGGTCAGAGGTCATGAGTCAGAGTTTTATCCGTAGAACAAATTTGCTCCTAAGAGTCTACCCCTCTTAGTTCTAGGGAATTATTGATTACCTCACTCCAAACCCAGAGCCCAGTGGTGCCAACTTCAGTGAAGACCTTGTCCCTCTTCCAACCTGCCTTTTGTTACTCTTTGCTTTATTCCAAAGGCTCTGCTTTTCTGAGAGACAGTGTCTTCACTGGACAGTATACACCAGGATAAAAACCAGGGTTCAGTCTTCTCTCTCCCTCCTACTAATGGGGTTAGCTTGGTAAGTCTCCCATCGCCGCGGCCCCTCAGCTCTCAAGACCTCAGTACAAAAGCATTAACTGCCAATTCCTCACCATGGGTAAACAGATGTTATCCCAACCTGCCAGCAGCACAGCCTTCTCCAGGCTCCTGCTCTTACTGTTGAAGGGGAAATGCTTGGCATAGGTAGGGTGCTCAAGAGACCTAGCCAGCATTAGGGTCCTTCCAGTTAGTTAATAGGCTGTTGAGTTGTGTTACAGTTTGTTCTGCACCCCCACTTAAACATATGAACTAAGACGCTAATGCTTCAATATCAACTCAAACCTCGAATAAGGTACACTTTTCAGACACATAAGGGGATTTTAATGCTCTCTCCATTAGATAGTAAACTTCCTGAGTCTCTCTGGGCCCCCAAGGGTGCTGAGCATCTGCACTGCCTACAGAAGGCTCTAAACACGATGCCAGCCTTTCCACTGACCTCTCTTGGGGACAGCTGGCCGGATGAAGTATGGGAGCTGCCTCATGGCCCCACGCAGCTCTTGCTTCAGTGCCAGAACATACTCGCCTTCCTCTCCCGGAGGCAGAGGCACTGGGTGGAACTCTAAGGGCTGAGGCACAATGGTTAGTTTAGGACAAAAATGCGGTAAAAACCTTAAAGGACCTTTCCCCTAGTTTGAATCCATTGCTCCCAGTAAACAGAGCCAGAGAAATGGGAGAGCAATGCAGCATCTTTTGAAAGCTGGGGAGTGGGGAGTATGAAGAGAAAAGGTAAATACTTCTTTGTCTTCTGTGGGTCGGGACTCTGGAGGCAGAGGGTCAAGGTGAGGGTGGGTTAGGGTGGGCCAGGAGGATGCTGTGGTCAGTGGGGGGGGCACAAGGGTCTTAGGAAGGAGGGGACACTCACGGGGAAGAGTGGAGAAGGCTGTAGAGTGGGTGGGGGTAAAGCATCACCCTTCCCAATGCCCACAGCCTCCATGTTGAAGGTCAACTGGCCTCGGCCACGACCCCGGCCCCCACCCCGGCTGGCCATGGTGGAGGGGGCCTGGATACTCTGAGATCCAGTGAGAAAAACCTAATAAAGACAAAAACAAAGAGATAAAGAAGTACCCAATATTCTATAGCAGGTGACATTTTTCTCAGCGCTAAGGTTCAAACCCAGGACCTTTCTCATACTAAGTAAGTACTCTACCTCTGAGCTATATTCCAAATTATTTCTCTGTGGCACCTAAAAAAGCCAAGGGTGCTGGGCAGTGGGGCATGCCTTTAATCTTATCACTTGGGAGGCAAAGGCAGGCAGATCTCTGAGTTTAAGACCAGCATGGTCCATAGAGCAAGTTCTAGAATGACCAGAGCTATGCAGAGAAACCCTGCCTTTAAAGAAAAAAGCTAGATAAATAAAAGATGTAATTAATTAAGTAAAAATGAATAAAACCTGAAATTAGGAGTGATGCAACAAATATGTAATCCCAGTCCCACACTTGGAAGGCTAAGGTAGGAGGATTGCAAATTTGAGGTCAGCTGCTCTACACAAAGTTTAAAGCTACTCAGAGCTCAATAGCAAGATCATCTCTCAAAAATAAACAAATAGGGATCTGAAGAGATTGTTCAGTGGTTAAGAGTATGCACTGCTTTTTGCAGAGGAATGGCATTTGGTTACTAGTACTTGTGACTAGAAAAAAGAAAGAAAGGAAAGAAAAGAAAAAAATAATGTACAAAGAGTGGTTCATTATTTGTAACAGATGCATTGTATAATATTCAACGTTAATAAAAGGGAAACTGTGTACCAGGGATATATGGGAACGCTGGGGGTTATCTGCCCAGCTTTTCTGTAAATCTATTCTTTTTTTGTTTTATTTTACCTTATTGTTTTGCAGAACTAGAAGTTGAACCCAGGTTTTTCCACATTCCACAGTCACTGAACTACAACCTATAACACTTACACCTGTAAACATTGTTTTTATTCAGGTGATGGGCTTTCATGATTGTTCCTCTTCTTCCTCTCTGTGTATTCATTTTTCCCTGTAATGTATGAATACTTCTTTTCTTGGGGGGGGGTTCTCTGTGGCTTTGGAGGCTGTCTTGGAACTAGCTCCTGTAAAGCAGGCTGGTCTTGAACTCACAGAGATCTGTCTGCCTCTGCCTCCTGAGTGCTGGGATTAAAGGCATGAGCCACCACCACCTGGTGAATACTTCTTTTTATAAGAGAAAATTATCGGGTAGGTCTTGTGGCTGGAGCCTATAATCCCAGCACTTGGAGGTGGGGGGGGGGCGCTGAGGAAAGGAAATCTGGGCTACAGAGATATTTCCAAATTCATAGTCCTCCTTGCCTTTACCTCCCAAGTTCTGAGATTACAGTTATGTGCCAGCATGACCAACCAATAAATAAAACCATTGACTTAAAGTTTTCACCACAGGTCCAAGGAGAAGTCTCAGTGTGCATACAAGCCGGCCACCTGAGTTTGAGCCACAGAACCGATGGGAAACAAACAGAAGGACTGGTGGAAGTTTATAGGCTAGCTAGCCTGAAGTTCACTCAGTGGTTAGAGACCCTTGTCTCAACAAGGTGGAGGCAGGACAGACCAGGTCAGAGAACTTTGGCAATTCTCTCCCCCTTCCCTCCCTCCCTCCCTCCCTCCCTCCCTCCCTCCCTCCCTCCCTCCCTCTCTCTCTCTCTCACACACACACATACACACAAAGTAAAAGTTTAAAAACTGAACTAAATATAAATATATGTCTTATGTACAGAATCGTATACAAGAATAATCTGTTGCAGGAAGAAGATGGGTATCTGAGGTGATAGAAGAGTCGAACTACCATGAAAAAAATGGAAGGAATGATTGCTATTGAGAGTGGATGTTTGACAGCCTGCATCAGTCTTTAGCTCTTTTCAAGGAAGAGGACTAAACAGCTGGCTTAGGCCTCTTTCCCTTTGACAGATACAGCTCCAGCTGTGGAGGACAGAGTGGTTCTAATGGCAAGGCAATGAGGAGCTAAGAAAAGCCATGAGCTTGGAGGCTAGGCAACTCTAACCCCATCGCCACACACTCATGCATTAAACAGGTGGCCACCGAAGAGCAGAGGAAAAACGACAAATGCTGTTTAATGCAGGCTGTTGGTTCTCTTAGCCTGGGGATCAGTAATGAATCCATTTATGATTGTAACAAATAGTACTGTAAACCCACTCAAAAGCTTCCAGCTATGGAGATCAAAGGTCCAAGTGGGAAGCTACTGCTGTTGTTCTGCTAAACACCTCCCCGATAACTGTGGTTTCAACTCATGGATTAGTGCTGTGGTCGGCTTTGGCAGAGGAGCTTCCTTTTGTTACAGTCAGCGGTGATGGTGACACTAGAAACCGGTCAAAATACAGAGAATACAGGACTTCTGTTGCCAAGCCACAAGACACCAGTGTCACCCACTCTAAGGCTGAGAGGACTTCACAGGGAGGAAATGCTGGTGTGTGTAGCACACTGATCTCTGGACATGGCATGGCTGCTGAACACGTGTGGTTAACTACACAAGATTGGCACAAGGCAGGGTCTGTTCATATCCTGTCACTGTAGGAGGGGATCATGGGAACCTACTTCTCCCTAAGAATTTATAAGACCTTAGTAACTGATGGGAGAGGGAGAGGCATTTTCTTCAGTGTTGTAGCCACTGGTGAGGTCCTCAAGCTCCTATAAAGAAACACTCCCTGAGCCTGGCCTGTGGTACACACCTTTAATTCTGGCACTCGAGAGGCAGAGGCAGGGAGCTTAGGCCAGCCTGGTCCACACAGGGACCTCCAAACCAGCCAAGGCCACAAGGAAAAAAGAAAGAAAGAAAGAAAGAAAGAAAGAAAGAAAGAAAGAAAGAAAGAAAATAATTTCCTATGCTCCACAACCAACATTAATGAAACTGATTGCATCACACACTGAAAAGACACAAAAGCACAGAGGCTCTACTTGGGAAGAAGGGGGTTAGCAGGGATGGGGCAGAACAAGAAAGGGTAACTGTGTGTGTGTGTGTGAGTGTGCACGTGTGTATGAGAGAGAGAGGGAGAGAGACAGACAGGATATGGTTGCAATACACTGTACATAGATTATTAAAGTTCATCTATGAAAATGTCATAATGGAACCCGTTGTTATGTAATTAACATGCACTAACAGAAACATTAAGAAGAGAATCTTGAGGACATTTCAAGTCTCCTACCATGTTAGTGCACTGAGCTTTCCCCACACCCATCTTCCACAGCACACATGCAGGCCCAGGTATACACACCTTTGTACTGCAGTAAAAGTTACTAAAGAGCACATTTCAACAAAACATACAAAAACAACAAAACACCAACAAACACATGGTGTTAAGGATGGTAGAGCTGGGTGTGGGAGCACATGCCTGTGATTCTGCCACTTGAGATGTAAAGGCAGGATGCTCTGGAGTTCAAAGCCATCCTAGGCTACGTTATGTGCCAGGCCATGAGTCCCTGTCTCAAACACCAAAACCAACCAACCAAACAAACAAACAAAAGTTCCAGTTTTGTCATTTTCTAGCTACACAGACTTCGGTTCTTTGTCTGTGAAATGGGAGTGATAGTAATAATAAACCCACCACTCTAATTACTTTTAAATTTTAAATTGCTGTGAAGAGACACTATGACCAAGGTAGTAACTTATAGAAGAGACTTTATTGAGGTCTTACAGTTTCAGAGTGTGAGTCCACAATCATCATGGCAGGGATGGCAACAGGCAGGCAGGCACAGGAGTCGCTGAGAGCTCACTTCTCATCCATAAGCAGGAGGCAGAGAGAGACAGAGAAAGCTAACTAGGAACAATGAAGGCTTTTGAAACTTGAAAGGCCACCCCCTAGTGACACACCTCCTCCAGCAAGGCCACACCTTCTAATCCTTCACAAACAGTTCCACAAACTGTGGACAAGCAGGCAGGTATATGAGCCTCTGAGGGCCATGCTCACTCAAACCACAACACCTACCAGGTGCCATGAAGTTGCCGAATGCTGACAACAAAGCAGGGAGAAAAATGGACAAACTAAACAATAACAAAACTCGTGGGTACCCCTGGTGCTTCCTACATGGAATATACTCTGGTGGGGTCATCAGTTTACAAATAAGAGTTTAAGCCACAAGAGTAGGTGAGGTCCCGAAAGGAGACGATGTAGTGGTCAGTCCTGGGGCACTCTAATGCTATATTTGTAGTAAACAAGGTAAGACGTAATACTATGTTAGAACTCCTGGAGATCTAAATGGAAGAAAATTCATTCCCTACAAAAGAAATGCTAGCTGGGGATGCATCTCCATGATATATCCCTTGTTCAGGAGGTGTAAGGCCCCAGGATCAAGACCCTGGTACTAGAGGGGGAAACCAACAAGTTCTATAGGCATGTTGTATGTATCTGTAATTCCAGCCATTAGATAAGCTGAGAGAGGTGGATTGTAAACTCTAGGCAAGCCTAGGCTACATAGTAAGATATTGTCTCAAAAAACTCAAACCAAACAAATAGAAAACAAAGCAAAATAAACAAAGGCTGGACATAGTGTTGAGTACCTTTAATTCTAGCACTTGAGTTCAAAGACAGTCTATTCTACAAAAGAGTTCTAGGCCAGCCAAAGCTACATAGTGAGACCCTGCCTCAAAACAAATAAACAACAACAACAAAAATGGACAAAGAATATGAATAGAAAATTGACAAAAGGATGGTCAATAAAACCACATTAAAATATCTATCATCTATCCATCCATCCATCCATCTATCTATCCATCCATCCATCCATCCATCCATCTATCCATCTATCTATCATCTATCCATCCATCTATCCATCTATCTATCCATCTATCTATCATCTATCCATCTATCTATCTATCTATCCATCCATCTATCCATCCATCCATCTATCCATCTATCCATCTATCTATCCATCCATCCATCTATCTTTCTGTGACAGGCTCTCTCTACATAACACTGATTGTTCTAGAACTATATAAACCAGGCTGGTCTCACACCCACAGAGATCTGCCTACCTCTGCCTTCAAAATGTCTGGTCTCTTTCATTCAAGACATATTTATTTTTAATTATG